ACACAATGGACAAACCATAGGTGTGTCACCAAGGAATCAAAAACAGGAGTCAACTCTCCCATCATGGGAAAGTGCAGTCGAGATGCCTGCTTTCCTTACCTTTTGCTTTGCCTGCCAGCAGTCTGTCAGGTTTTGTTTAACTAGGCAAGTTTCATCTTACATGTGATAAACTAATACTATAGGGGAGCTTAAAGGCAGGAAAGGCATCCTGAGGATTATCTTGCTTTTAACATGTTCTCCTATAGTTCTTCTCTGTGGACACTTCAAATGAAAACAACAGATGTTTGGGACAGTTAGGAAGTGCAGCAAAACTTCAGCTGTCCACTAGTTCTCACAGTGTGAGTGGGCTGGAAACCAGCACTGGTGTGTGTGTATGGGGGTAGGGGGGATAGGGTACTCAGCTTTTCCTGATTCTTTGCCAAGAAAGCATGGTACCCTGCACTCCAGAATCCCTTGGAAGCTTCTAAGCTATGGGACTCTGAGAAACTGTTGAATCCCACATCCTTTGAAGTCTGGCAAGTTTCAAATGCTGTTGGACTGTTTACAATTGGAAACACATTAGCCTCAAAGAGCAGCAGAATGCTGAGCTTCTTGCTTTTGCTCCCACCCATTGAAGAAACAGTAATGCCCTGATATTCGTGTCCCCAGTGCATTCCACATCCCCTGAGTCTCCTGGCATTTGCTACTTTATTGTAAGGCTCAGTAGACTGGATGATCAATGCAGCAGAGATTTCTAAAATAAAACTCTTCATTGTTCCAGGTTTTGTGGCTGTTGCCTTTTCAACAAGTACCAGATGATCACCCCTTTAAATCTACCAAGAAATTACTTAGTTCCTTTTCTCAGATACTTTTAAAAAAATGTACAGCCTGAGTCCTCTGGGGGGGGTTCCATCAGTCAATACTTCCTAACACTAACCTTGAGTGAAAGACGACAGCGAAGGGTTTTCTGGATGCTAGAGTCAGGTTCTAAAAGAGCCCAATGTATAGCTTGGTGGTGGTGGCAGCATACCTCTTTAATCCCAGCACTTGGGTGGCAGAGACAGGCCAATCTCTGTGAGTTCCAGGCCACCCTGGTCTACAGAGCTAGTTTCACAACAGCCAAGGATACACAGAGGAACCCTGTCTCAAAAACAAAACAAAACAAAAAATCAAAAACAAAAAGAAGAGAAGGAGGAGGAAGAGGAGGAGGAAGCAGGAAGCAGCATCAGCAGAAGAAGAAGGAGAAGGAGGAGAAGGAGAAGAGGATGAGGAGGAAGCAGGAAGCAGCATCAGCAGGAGAAGGAGGAGAAGGAGGAGAAAGAGGAGAAGGAGAAGAGGAGGAGGAGGAAGAGGAGGAGGAAGCAGGAAGTAGCATCAGCAGAAGAAGGAGGAGAAGGAGGAGGAGAAGGAGGAGAAGGAGGAGGAGGAGAAGGAGAGGAGGAGAAGGAGAGGAGGAGGAGAAGATGAACCCAGTGTCTGCTGCTCTTCTTCCCTAGAGCCTCTGCTGCACCAGAGGCTGAGGAGTAAGGCCAGTTTGTCTAGGAGTCTTGATTGTTTCCCGTTCAACTCTTGAACACAACTTCATCCCTGGAGACAAGGTGTAGTTATCGAAATCTCATACTTTGATAATTTTTGTATGACTTAACCCTGGAAACTAAATAGAAATCAGTGTTGATTTTTTTTTAATAGTTGCTAAGGGGAGCTGACTCATCTGACTCATCATCGACACTGTCGATGTCAGGATGTATTAGAGGCTACCAAAATCAATTTTGGTTTAGCAGTGGAGGGTAGAGCTATCAATGGATAAAAATTATTGATGAAAATCTTGCATAAACAATATTTTGAAACTAGTTAAAAGTTAGTGAATCAAGGTATTTTAGATGAGGAAAGAGTCACTGGAGAGTGATGCAACTTTGCTGTTAGGGTCCATGAATAAACCTTTCTTAAACTCCAAACAGATATGTCTGCAACAGGCTGGCCACAGACCAGTCTCAGGAAAGAGGACAGTTGTTGAATAAGGTGGATGGTTTGAGTGTTGAAAATCCAACACATGCACACATACACACACACATATGCACACACACACACACACACACACACACACACACACACACACACACACACCAAAAAACAGGTTGGAGGAGAAAAAATTAAGGAATTAAGGAGAGATGATGAGAAAGAAACAGTTTTCCTGAATAGAACATCTGATCTTGTGCAAGTAATAATGAAATAAGTTCACACCCCATGCTTCTTTTAAAAGGTATCTTTAGATTGCAGAAAATAAAGAGCAGTTTTGAAAGCTTAAACTTTTTAAAAAGGCATGCTAGCATCTTACTGTGTAGTCATGTAACTAGTACATAAGCTAGGTTTGGCATCTGAAAGCAGTGTAAACTTAGGCACTGTAGAGGAGTGAGGAGAGATGCTTGGAGCCCACAGGATCAGAAACAAACAGCAGAGTATGTGTCCCTGATTCTCAGTTTCAGCCTCATGGGAAGAAGCATTTTTTAAGTGATGGCTATTTAGAGGCTGACATCACAGCACTGCATTGGAATCCTTCTAAAAGATTTACTCACTGGTCAAATACTATTGCCTCCTCTGCAAGGAATGCAACTCAATGTTAGAAATGTCAACCTTTTAACTTTTATTTGGGGGCCTTCATTCAATCAGTAAACACTTATTTAACAGCTGTAAATACCTACAGCTGAACTACGACTAGTAGTAGTTCAAAGAAACAGTTTTTCTCCCAAGCAAACTAGAGTCTTGGCACAGAGTCTGGTTTCCCAACTAGAGTATTCCTGACATTTAAGTCCTTTGTTTGGGCTCTGTCATTCATGCCACTATATGAATCTTACTCCTGGCCCATGAATGAATGGCTAAATGAGTAATTGTGGGGGTGGGAGGGTGGTTAAGTAGATGTGTTTACACAATATAAACATTTTAAAAATATGGTACTGTATCTTAAATACATAAAAAAGTATTAACAGAAGTGTGTGTGTGTACTGATTTAGGAGCAAGACTTGTCAAGAACAATGTTAGACATTCCTAACGACAAAATGTCACATTAATACTAAGTTATCTTGGTGGCACACTTATTGCAATCATGCTTTACTGTTTTGTTTTTTTAAATCTCTGATCTGTCACCTTTTCCATTTCTTTAAAGCCTGACTGTGTCATGCTAATGGATAAGGCTTTGTGTAAATGCATGTTTAACCTTATGATTAAACCACCATTGACAATTGCACAAATCTTTGGTTCTTTTCATAGCAGATCACATGCACCAATTAACCAAGCATCTGTAATTCTGTTTATTATAGAGATGATATGAAAGTTTTCAGTTCTTTCTGGGCTCTTTGTCTTGAAGCAGTATTTTATTTATTAATAACTCTCCACACTAGGCAGAGTTGGTGCCATGGACTAAGATGAGGAGGGGTGGACCTTGCTCCTCATCATAGCTTTTCAAAGTTCTTAGTAGTATTACACTTTCTCCTATATTACTGCACTGTCCAGACACAATGAGATAAAACAAAGCAAAGCTAAATGACACAGTGGGGACTAAGCCACACTGCCAACCAACCATTCAGAAGAGTAATTCCCCCATGTCTCCCTTCATTTCCATGAAACAGAGCTTAATCTGCTTTCCTGAGGAGGTATGAAACCTTGACCAGCTGTAGCCTCTCAGCCCTTAGCTTCTTATCTGTAAATCAGACAACTGGTTTATATGTTGCTAAGCTTCCTTTCAGCCCCAAATGTCTGTAAGTCTATGCTAAGGTGTACGTATGGACTGACCTGGCAGCCTCCACAGCAATCCAGTTTGTACATTATTCCAACACTGCTCAATTAGTCATTTAAAGCTTCATAAGTCATCTTCAGATTTGTCATGCTGCAAACATACCTACTTTCTGTGGACTTCTCAGCTAAGCACTTGCATTATCGAGTGGTTGTGGGATTAACCCTTTTATCCCTGTAAAAAGAGTCTCCTCCCTTCCCTTTGAGGCTTTCCTTTCTTCCTATTTAGTCTAATGGTTTCCTATGTAGTGGAGGTTTTTAACTTTCAACATGCTTTTATGTGATGCTTCCAATGGCTTAACAGTTTCCTCATGTTTAATTTTCAATTTTTGTTCAAAACATAACCTCTCTCTTTCTCTCTCTTGTTGCTTAAGGTGCTTTAAAAAAATTCCATTATGGCTTACATGCAGTATGTACTTCATGGCTTCTTTACCCTTCTCAAGAATTCCTCAAGTATCAGTTGAGCACGTGATAACTCATCTCAATTACTTACCTCATGCTCTCCATTCTGCTGAAGTACAATACAAACTATGTTTGGATAACTTCAATTCCAAACTTCTAAAATCTGATGTGGTCTCTAACCTCCCCAATTTTCATGGTTAGATTATGTAAAAGTTAGTTTTCCATTTTATATTCTACTTTCTTTATATGCAAAGACTTTGGACCCCTATTTATTCTATGACCCTGACACAAATTTGGGAGTGAATAGATGGAGAAACCATGAGGACATAAAGCTTCTTCGGCACCTCAGGCCCTAGAGAGCTGGCCCAGTGTAGTGAATGTTATCTTTGTGTTACAGTTACAAAAACCACCTGTCAAGAATAGGTTGAGGAGGAGGAGGATGGACACTGGCTCATGCTTTTAGAGAAACCTCAGTCCGCTGTGGTGGGAAGTATGGCAGTATTCATTGTAGCCACAGTGTATGGCAAAGACTCCTACATGGAGTAGAGACAGGCTAGATCCAGAGGTAGGTCTAAGCTGAGAGCTGGTGGCATGGTCTACTCCACCAGCCAGGCCACGTTTCCTAAGGCTCCAGGCCTACAAGCTAAGGACCAAGTGTTGAAAAAGGAGCTTCCAATCATGATGCCCAGTGTTGACTCTGTGACTGAGTCCCAGCCGCACATGTATTGTGAGCTGGCTCCTATCAGTTCTTTCTATTATGACTTGCAAAGTTTATTCAATTTGAGCTTAATTTTTAATCTTAACTCTATAGTGGGAAACCTTAGTCATCTTACCCGAATTCCCAAGTCAGTGATGTTGGTACACTCAGACAGAGACAGTTCCCTCAGCTTCCTGTGTCTGGAAAGTATGGTCAAGCCCTAAGAAAATAAAGATCATTTGGTGATTACAATTTAGTATGGGATGTATCCAAGAGCCATTTGTACAAACCAATGGCTTAAGTGAGCAATCATTTGTGCAAGCTAAATCAAACTACATGCCTTCCGAGTCAGACTTCTTATATCTAACAAAGCACGGCTTACTTTGGCAAGAAAATTATTCAGTGTCTCTAATACTTTGCAGAACAAATAAAAAATAAAAATGCTCCCAAGTCTCAGAGCTAGAAAACTCTTTAAGAAATCACCTGTGGCTACTGTGTACAGACAAATGCTATGGGAACAACGCGAACCGCTCTATTATCTCAAGACTCTTGGTGCCATTGGTGAATGAATGAGGAACTCATCCATTCCTAACCTAAAACACTCAAATTCTTTAGTTTATTTTAGGAGTCCAGTTTCTGAAAGATAAAGGGGGTGAATCTTTATAATGGTCTAGTGACACAAGCAGCCATTGCCTCTCCTGGCCCTTACATTGTTGCACACGTGACTGTGCCATGACACTTCTTAGTGTCCCCAGGACTGACTGGACCCTCCAGCCCTCTGATGGGCACTGATGACTTGATGAGTTAGCTTAGAGCCGCTCTCCTATTGGGTATGTGTGCTTGTTTGCTGGTGTTGAGAATAAAAGCATGTGGCCTTGGCATACAGACACAGCCTCAGCCTCTCTGTCTTGTTTGGCCCACTAATGGAGCAATGTTGGACATGGCTAGGGATGGGTCTCTTTTTATATTTATGTGCACAGCTGGTTTACATTTTATCGATATCAAGGGTGATGTTTGAGCCATAATGGAAAATAACATATGCAAATGTTAGATCTTGTTTTACTTCCTTTAAATAACTATCCTTTAAAGAAAAGATTTCATTTTTACATCCAGATCAAGGGGAAAGCACTTGTCACAGCCACTGTTCAACCGTGCTGTCTCTGTTTAATGCACTATCTCCTAGTGCGGTGACTCAGCTGGGCCCCTTCATGCTATTGTGACCGGGGTGCCTTCTCCAGGCATGTTCTCTTTCCTGCCTCGTGCTTTCAGAGCAAAGACCTTGGGGCCATCACACAGTCTGTGTTCCAGATGTGAGTCTTCTTTTAGTCCTACTAGGAGGACTGGAGGGGTTGAGCTCTTCCCCCACAGAAACCAAGTTCTTTGAACAAAAATACCTAGACATGCAGAGTTCACCTCTGAGTACTACACGTGAAAATAGACATGATCCTGGGAGACCCCTCCTAGGAAACGACCCAGAAGCACTTAGGGTTTACTGCTGTAGCCAAGTCAGAAGTTTTAAAGCTTAGCCACAAAAGTTCACTAGCTAAACACAACACTTGTCAGTCTGTTTGCTCCTTGCCACTTCACTAAAGAAAGCATTAAGAGTTCACATACAGGGGCTGGAAACATGATCCAGCAGGTTAAAGCTCTTGTCATGCAAGCCTGATCATGGGAGTTGGTTCCTTGGAGCCCACAGAAAGGAGACAGGAAAAAGACCCCACACATGAGCTTTGGTACATGCATATCTATCATGTATGTACAATAATAATGATAATGATTGTATTAATAATCTTAAAGTTAAAATATGAACATGAAATTCCATGTTTAATATTAGTACTAAAATACATGAAGTCAACAGTAAATGAAGATCATTAGCTGTTGCTTAAGTATAGAATGAGATACCACACTAATCTACTGTCCATAATAGTAGTCTGTAATGTCTGTAATAATTAAGAAGAGCAACAACAAAATGTGAGAGTGTGGAGATGTGAAAACTGACACAATGCAAGAAAAGTGAAATGGACCAGCCATTCTGGAAAACATGACCATATCTCAGAAAACAAAGCACAGAGTTAGCATGTGGCCCAGCAATTACACTCCTCAAGGGGCTTATAACTTAGAATACAACATGTCTTCATACACACACACACACACACACACACACACACACTTGTGTGTAAGTGTTCTTAACGATGGTATTTAGAACAATATCTACATAGAATGCTAGTGGATTAGAAAAAGAAGTGTTGGTATATGTCATTGTATGCATAAGCCTTGAAAACATTGTTCTAAGTGAAAGAAGCCATAAACACCATACATGATTCCACTGACATATAAAGTCCAGAAAAGATAAAGAGAAAAGATAGATCTGTGCTTGCCTGAAGCCAGCTGCAGGGTGTGACAAGCATAGGAAAGGGATGATGAAACCATTCTGGGGTTAGGTTATGGTGATACTTATATAGCTCCATAGATAAACCAGCAAAATGAAACACACTGAGGGCCCCATCTCAATAAAGATATTGTTAATTGACAATTGTTTGATAAGGACCAGAAAATATCCCTATGCCATCCTTCTGCCACAGATGGTTGCAGACATTGCCTATGTGTCATGATCATTAGCAAGACCATCTAAGTGATGTCACTGTGCCCATGCTGATGAATTACCATACAGCTGCTAAGTAAACAACACTAGCAGAGACCAGCAAGTGAAAGCCAGGAGACCAGCCAGACATCTGTAGACACCACCTGCTGGCATTGGGTGGGGGGGGCAGCAAGGTAAATGCATTGTTTCAGACAGCAAGACACGTTCTTATTTTGACTTAAAACTGCTCAGAAAAGTGACCTAATGGACAACTGTGCCAGTTAGGTAAATGTTCTGTTCAACTCTATGGGATTCAGAAATGCTCTAAAGCAGAAGGAATTCCCTGAAAGAACTGACAGTTATCTTCTGCCGTTTTTATTTTAAAAACCTGTAGTCTTAAGTCTGGGATTTATAATTGCTCAATTTGATGGGTATTCATTTAACAAACACAATACTGATGGAGCTCTAGTAGAGAAACTGAAGCCTAGATATCAAAGAGGTCCTGTGTTTAATTCTAAGAAGCCTGAAGCCTAGGCAGGGAGACATTTGGGTACCACAGACCATCATAACCATGAAAGAAAAAGGTGGCCACATTGGTCCTATCAAAGAGATATGGCGAGGCCTACTTTTATGAGCCTGTGGCAGGAAAGCACAGGGGACAACTTAGAAACCTGGAACTCCACTCAGTTCTGCCTATACGAACAATGCATTTGGCAGCCTGAGCCCCTTGCCTTCAGGTACAATGAACACATGATGGCTGCAGGTACACATAGGACTCCCTAATGACCATCAACTTAGACAGTTTATATGTCTGCAATGTATCCAGGTATAAAGAAAGAATGACTGATCTGGCCTTAACTGGCTAGGGGACATGTGCAATAAGACAAACTCTTTCTTCTAAGTGAACATTTAGGGAGAACCCCTTTGTTTACCAGCTTATGCTTTTTACTCATAATTAGGAGTGCATATGATTGCATTGTAGGAAAAGATATGCGAGTGAACAGAGCCTTATGTAGGCAAACTTGTCAGCTAAATAAAGGACCACCCAAACTACACACCTGGCAACCACCGTAAAAGTAAGGCCTTTATTCATGTGGCCTGCTGTCACTCCTGACAGCATATCTGCCCTGTCACTTTGGTTTGAATAAAACTTTGTTACTTTTGCATGTGAGAGCCTTCATTTCCATTTCTGAGTAAGAAGCCAAGAGCCTAGATGCTCCCAGCATACACTGTGACATCTGTTATGGATGAGTACAGCACCTGGGAAATCTTAGAGAGAGAGAGAGAGAGAGAGAGAGAGAGAGAGAGAGAGAGAGAGAGAGAGAGAGAGCTGCTGCCACCAAGAAAATGGAAGGATGGGAATTCTTGACAGAACAACATTTTTCACTTACTTTACATGCCAACCACACTTTCCCCTCCCTCCTCTCCTCCCATCCCCTCCCCACCTCCCATCTACCTTCCTTCCCATCCAATCTTCCTCCATCTCCATTCAGAAAGGGACAGGCCATCCATGGGCTTGCACATAGCATGGCCCATTAAGTTGAGATAGGGCCGAGCTCCTCCCCCTGTATAAAGGCTGGGCAAGGTAATCCAGCATGGGGAACAGGCTCCCAAAAGCCAGCTCAAGCACGAGGGACAGGCTCTGGTCTCACTGCTAGGAGCCTTACAAAGAGATTAAGCTGCACAAGTGTCACACACATGCAGAGGGCCTAGGTCAGTCCCATACAGGATCAGAGTCCTTGAGCTCCCATGAGCTCAGGCCAGCTGTCTGTGTGGGTTTCCCCATCATGACCTTAACCCCCTGGCTCATACAATCCCTCCATCCTTTCTTAGCAGGACTCCCAGGGCATGGCCCAGTGTTTGGCTGTGGATCTCTGCATCTGCTTCCATCAGTTATTGGATAAAGGCTCTCATGACAATTAGGGTAGTCACCAATCAGATTACAGTACATGGTCAGTTCAGGCTACATATCCACTATTGCAGGGTGACTTAGCTTGGGTCATCCTTGTGGGTTCCTGGGAGTTTCCCTGACATCAATTTCTCCATGACCTGAAATGCCGCCCCCCCAATCAAGATTTCCCTTTTGTTATTCTCCTCCTCTGTCCTTGCCCCCAACCTACCACCTACACCCAGCCTACCCAACCCTCAAGTTACATCCTCCACTCCCCTACCCCCACCCCCAGTTTACCCAGGAGATCTCTTCTATTTTCCTTACCAAGGGAAATCCATGCATCTCTCTTTGGGCCCTCTTTTCTGGGCCTGTGGTTTGTAGGTTGGTTATCTCATACTTCACTCCTGGTATCTACTTATGAGTGAGTGCATACCATGTGTGTTTTTCTGTGTCTGGGTTACCTCACTCAGAATGAATTTTTTATAGTTCCATCTGTTTGCTTGCAAATTTTATGATGTCCTTGTTTTTTACAACTGAGTAATACTCCATTGTGTAAATGTACCACATCTAGGTTGCTTTCAGGTTCTGGCTGCTATGAACATAATTGCATAAGTATTCTTGTGGTATGATTGAGCATCCTTTGGGTATATGCCCAAGAGCAGTGTAGCTGGGTCTTGAGGTAAATTAATTCCCAATTTTCTGAGAAACCACCATGCTGATTTCCAAAGCAGCCATTCCAAATTAGCCA